TGTCAGGGGTCCTTTACCTTTTTTTTTTTTAAGATTGAATATGAATGCTGTGTTTTAATTATTGTAACTCACCCAGGGACCTTAGGGTGAAGGGTGGGTAGTAAATTATATCACCACCACCTCACCAACGACAATAAGGGACACTGCAGCTGCCTGGGTTATGAAAAGTTATTCTGACCTCATTGACCTGAGGAGAACAGCAAATGGTTTGGTGCTTTAATAACAAGAAAACTTTCATGCCCGGAAGGCGGAATAATTCCACTTCTTCAGCTGAGAACATTATTGTAATAAAAGAGGAAGATATGAAATCAGAGATGAAATGTGGTAAAGCAAACAGTGATGACTGCAGGGCACGTTATCCTGAGGGAACGGGACAGAAAATAGTCTTCTCTTTCAGGGCTACCTTGTCATCCATCTCACGTTACTCAACTGTAGCCTCCAACACTTTGCAGATAAAAATAAAGGGAAGTTTGTAAGCCATATTTTCATAACAAGGATTGTTGTCTGACTCGTCTCCCATTACAACACACCACTAGAATCTCTGTCTGCTATCTCTATGCCATTTTAAACAGCCATGGCTTTCCCCAAAGAATATTGGGAACTGGAGTTTGTTAAGAGTACTGGACCAGCCAATTGCTCTTTCCAGAATACGCTGGGAATTGTAACTTTCACCACCCTTAAAAACACATGCACATCAAAATTCTCTGTATTTATTTATGCATTTCTTTATGGATGTATCTTATGTACATATTTCTCTTTCTAAGTTTTTAAAATAATGTTATTAAACAATAAAACAGAGAGCACTGATGTAAAAAAAGGATGGACACGAACAGCCCCCAAAATAATATGCATCCGGCACAAGGAGCTTTTGATGATTTAAAAAAAATCAAATCAAGAAGATGATTTTGATGTATAAATGACCATTATCACTGTTTTTGTTCATTCTGGTCCTGGAGGTTTTGGCAAGGAATATTAGAATGGATAAAGAAGTCACAGGAATAAGAATAAAGAAAAATGTACTTAAATTAAAAGCATTCGCTGACGATTTGGTTATCTCTGTAGAAGACCCAAAGAATTCTCTCCCCAGAGTAATAGAAAAAAATTCAAAAGTTTGGACAAGTGGCAGGTTTTAAACTTAAGGGATCAGGGGCCTCCTGAGAGCTTTGGCACCCTTATATTATTAAAAACACTATAAAACATCAAACATTTAAAACTTCCCTAAACAGGGCCGCCTTCAGATGTCTTCTAAAAGTCAGATAGTTGCTTATTTCCTTGACATCTGATGGGAGGGCATTCCACAGGGCGGGCGCCACTACCGAGAAGGCCCTCTGCCTGGTTCCCTGTAACTTCTCTTCTCACAGCGAGGGAAACGCCAAAAGGCCCTTGGAGGCTGAATAGTGGGGCTGGAGATGCTCCTTCAGGTATACTGGGCTGAGGCCGGTATAGGAATGGGTGAATCTGTCCCTTTCAGTTGGTCATTTCCCCAATTTCAACTTCAGTTTTCCACATTTCCACATCATCTTGAGCATTTATTTATTTTTTTAAAAAGAAAAGCCTTCATGAAACTTCATAAGCATTTTTGGTATGATTTGCTCCTGAAAGACATAGGTTCATGTGCAACTTTGCCTAATGTGCTTATTTATTTATTTTTATAAGCACACGTAGTGGGGCTGCTCAAAGGTGTTCAATGAGATCTCTTTGTTATATAATCAAACTGTTGCCCCATCTTCTCACCTAGCACTTTTGAACATGTACAGTGGTACCTCAGGTTAAGGACTTAATTCGTTCCGGAGGTCTGTACTTAACCTGAAACTGTTCTTAACCTGAAGCACCACTTTAGCTAATGGGGCCTCCTGCTGCCACCGGAGCACGATTTCTGTTCTCATCCTGAAGCAAAGTTCTTAACCTGAAGCACTATTTCTGGGTTAGCGGAGTCTGTAACCTGAAGCGTATGTAACCTGAAGTACCACTGTATATGGAAACAGAATGGGTTTTGAAAAGCAAAGAACTTATCTCTCATCTCTTAACAGCAGCCCAGGGCTCTGTTGCCAACTCCTGGAAGACCTTCAGTCTTAATAATTTGGATTGGTGGTTCTCTGGGGTTGGGCAAATTGAAAAGATATCTCATAAACTAAAAGTATCTAAAGGACAGAGCTGCAATGACTGTGGGTGGGTTGCTGTTGTTTTTGCTATATTGCACGATTTTATTTCTAACATGAATATTGAGCCATATGGTCACTCTGTGCCACCAGTAGTTGTTGTTAGTTACCCATCTTCACCCTAAGATCCAAGGGTGGGTTGCAGAATTAAAGCACAAAATGAAAACAGTTTAAAACAACTTACAATCACAACAATAAGGTGGGTCCTAAAACTATACACCTCAATATATATGCAAACATCTGGCTTGTCTAAGGCTTTGTAGAACCTTTGTTCTCAACGATGATGAAACTCACAGGTACAGAATACTTTTATTTCTATGTATCATTGATATCTGTAAGGGGAATCTTTGCATGGGTTAATGCTTAATAATAATAATAATAATAATAATAATAATAATAATAATAATAATGTATTTCTTCTCCGCCCATCTGGCTGGGCTTCCCCAGCCATTCCAACAAAATATTAAAATACAGTAATGCATCAAACATTAAAAACTTCCCTAAACATTATTATCCCTTTGGAGCAGAGCTGTATCTTTGTACTTTTGTCCTTCCAGGCTGTGATGCTTCATAGTTTGCATTTCTTTGTTTTCTTTCTTTTTCTTATCTTTACACTTAAAAAAAGAGCCCAAATCAATAAACTACGAGATATGGAAAAACACACATTTTTGCAAAGCAGTTTCTCTAAAATAATACATTTTTGCATGTAATTTCCATTGATATTTCCATTTTTTATGGACATCTTACCTCCACGCATTCCTTTTTATACACATTACTCGGCTGGAGAACAGGATTGCCAAACTGGGAGAGGTGCAAATTTGCAAGGGCAGTAGTGTTTCGGCTCATGCATTGTTTCAGAAAGTATGAATGAGGTAGGTTTGCCTTTAAATGCGATCGAATCGGATTTCTCCCCAGTCCCTGGTGTTAATTAGCTGATAGACTGAGTGCACTTGGCTAGCCAAGAAGGGCCTATCCACTCACACCATGACGGCAAGACGCCTTGATGAACACGGAACATTTCATGTACTGATGCCCACTGAATTGCTCCTATGAGTTGCCATTAATATCATTGCACAGGCCTAGCTGGGGAAGAAACCCATCGCAGTGTCTATCCGACTGTGAACCAGAGAGCACTTCATCCCGTTTTTATCCTTCAGTTCCATTTATGACCCTTCAGCTGCACTTCCAAATGGCCGGCTGTTAACGACCTTTGACAATGTGGTTCAGATGCTTCCTGAGAAATATACTACGCCGTAATGAGCAGACTGTCACAGTGAGACCTGAAGGATGCTGGTTCGCCCCAGCATTAGAATGACTCAGACATCACCACAATCTTCAGAAGCCCTGCTGTCATGTTATGCATACAATGAGGAAGTTGGAAATGATCAATGTCTCTCCCCAGAAGCACTCTCTGAGATCAGAACCTGGAGCGAAGGCAAGGGATGTGGGACACAATATAGAACTAGAATAATAGGGAAAGCTGTGTAAATCTGGGCTGAAATTTACAGCATGCTATACTTTGAGGGGAAACTTTATGAAAATTATATATAGCTGTGTCAGGGAACTGCCATCGGAAGGAAGGGAGGTGAAAGGACTCAGACAGGTTGGAAGAGATTCAGCAGCTGAAGAGGGAACCAGCAAGGGGAGAGAAGCTGAACTGAGGGAGGTGAAAGGGCTCAGACAGGTTGGAAGAGACTCAGCAGCGGAAGAGGAAACCAGCAGGGGAGAGAAGCTGAACTGAGGGAAAGGGAGCTGGGGGGATGGCTCAGAGATACTTCCAGCGAAAACAGTGGTGAGGTTTCCGGACCTCCTGTAGCGACACCCACTCCTCGCCGGAAACTGTCACGCAGAGAGTCCAGAAGACGTGTTTCCGTTAAGGAGCTTTTATGTTGGAAGCGATTACGAAAGCAACCACTGTCGGAATCTTCTAGTGACTAGAGGAGCCATGTCAGAGGGGCTCAGTCACAGACAGAGGTTTGTGGACTTGAACAAACTCTGAGGGAATACGATTTTACGCACAAGCAGCTCATAATCCCATCACAGCATTCCGACAGTCTTTGAACGCAGCTTGTGCAGGAGAAGGCATAATGAGCAACCCAGCAGGAACCGGAGAAGCAGGGGCTGGAGCGGGTCCAAGCCTGGAAGAAAGGTACCGGGTGTTGGAGGTCCAGCTGGCGCTGCAGACGGCGAGGCTGGAGGAGAGGAGGGCTCAAGATGCAGACAAAATGGAGAAAGCCACCCAGCTCGCCAGAAAGGTACCAGGATTGGTGCAGAAATTTGGTGGGGAGCCCAAAGACTATCATAGCTTTCGGACAGAAATGCAATATGCCCTCAATCTGCAGTTTGATGATTTCCCTGATGAGGAATCACGAGTGGCTTTTGTGATTGGGCATCTTGAAAAGGGGCGAGAGACTGGGTGAGACCCCTGATGGCAGCGCATAGTGACGTCCTAAAGGACACGATGAAGTTCTTTCGCGCCATGGATCTGATGTTTTCCAGCGATATTGAAAAGGGAGTGGTGCGCAGACAGTTAATGGCTTGCAAACAGGGGAGCCGATCTGTACGTGAGTACTGGACTGAGTTCACCATGCTGATACACAGATTGGGGTGGGACTTATCGGCGGAACCCATTCAAATGCTCTTTGAAGAAGGGCTTTCTTCGGCTGTGAAAGATGAACTTTCCCGGGCGCCCAGGGCGGAGTCTATGGACCAGCTGACCAAATCAGCGCTGGCCCTAGGAGCGCGCCAGGAGGCGAGAGCATTGGAGAGGCGGGAAGGGAACGGGGAACGTTGGAAGGAGTTCCGCATTCCAGACATTCCAGAGCCAACTGTCCCGCCGGCAGAGCCGATGGAAATCGGAACAGCGCGCGCGCGCGCAGTTTCAAAGCCCAGTGAGGGGGGAAGAAGGATGGAAAAGGCGCCCGGAAATGCTATCTCTGCCAACAGCCAGGGCACTTTGCCAGAGTCTGCCCCCAGAGGAAGGAATGGCAAGGGATGGTGGGAGCTGTGGAGGGAAGAGAGGAAAAATACCGGAGCAACTAAAAGCCAACGCCTGGCTGCCATTGTCGGGGCACAGCAGCCAGGCCAAAGAGCAGTGAAAGTGCCCACTCCAGAACCTCCTAAACCCGCCCTAGTGATAGAAGTGACACTAGAGCTGCCAAACGGACACCCTCTAAAGATAAAGGCGCTGTTGGACTCAGGCAGCTCCTGCAATTTCATGAGCAAAGAGTTTGCAGCTGAACACCAGATACAGACGCTCCCTTTAAGCAACCCCCTGCAGGTAACCACGATCGATGGCAGGGAGCTGTTGGGAGGAGAAGTCAGCTTGCAGACCGTCCCAATGATAATGAAGGTGGCAAGGCACACCGAACTAATAGCATTTAATGTGGCCACCTTGGGAGGAGCTCCCATTATATTGGGGATGAGCTGGCTAGCGTTACATGATCCGCTGGTGGGCTGGCATCAAAGAGTGGTTTCTTTTGGGTCAGCACATTGCTTAGAACATTGCAAAGAGGGAAGGGTTTTGGCAGGGGCCCAAGCCACTCTAGCAGGGACTGAAGTGACGGAGAACGTGAAGGTACCACGACAATACGCAGATCTCCGCGACGTCTTCAGCGAAAGGGAAGCTGACCAACTACCACCGCATAGAGCCTTTGACTGTCAAATCAATTTGCTCCCTGGGGCACAGCTCCCTGTGGGCAAGCTGTACGCCATGTCAGACAGAGAGATGCAGGAGCTAAGAGAGTTCATTGACAAGAACCTGAAGAGAGGGTTCATCAGAGAGTCCAGGGCGGTGGTGGGGGCAGCCCAGTGTTTTTGTGGACAAAAAAACACGAACAAGCCGAGACTGGTGTGTGACTTCAGGGCCTTAAATGCAGTGTCAGAACCAGTGGCCTTCCCGATGCCCAGGATTGACGACATTTTGACAAGGGTGCGGAAGGGAAAGATTTTTACCAAGCTGGATCTAAGGGGGGCGTACAACCTGATACGAATAAGGAAGGGGGATGAATGGAAAACCACCATGTTCACCCCTTTAGGGGCATTTGAATACTTAGTTATGCCCTTCGGTCTACAAGCAGGCTCCGCAACATTTCAATCGTTTATGAACCACGTCCTGGGGCCGTTGCTTTACAAGAATTGTGTGGCCTTCTTAGACGACGTGTTGGTGTATTCTGAGAATGAGGAGCAGCATGTGAGAGACGTCAGAGAAGTGTTGAGCAGGCTGCAAGCCAACCAGCTGTGGGTGAAACTGGAGAAGTGTCAGTTTCATACCAAGGAGGTGGAATTCCTGGGGTATCGCCTGTCTGACAAGGGGTTGGCCATGGATCCCGACAAGGTCCAGGCGGTACTGGAATGGAAAACACCCAAAACAAGGAAGGATGTGCAGAGGTTTTTAGGGTTTGGGAACTTCTATCGTAAGTTCATCCCAAACTTTGCCCACCTGACGGCGCCCATTACGGACTGTCTCAGCAGTAAGAAGAAGTTCGTTTGGACGGAGGAGGCGGAGCAAGCATTTGAGGAACTAAAAGGGCCTTCGCCTCGGAACAACAGCTCCTGCATGTGGATTTACAAAAACCGATGAGAGTGGAAACTGACGCATCAGACAGAGCGGTTGGGGCGGTGCTTCTCCAGCCAGGGAAGGAGGAGTCAGAGTGGAGACCGTGTGCTTTTTTCGCGAAAGCTGAACAAATCCGAGAGGAACTACACGGTGTATGACCGAGAACTACTAGCCATTCATGAGGCGTTCCGGAGATGGAGGCACCTGCTAATTGGCGCACAACATAAGGTGCAAGTGTGCACTGACCACAAGAACCTAGAGTATTGGAGGACGGCACGAGTGCTCAACCAACGGCAAGTGAGATGGGCCCAGGAATTCTCCAAATTTAACTTTGAGATTTGTTACGTGCCAGGCCCAGAGAACATTAGGGCGGACGCTCTCTCACGCAAACCTGAATATTGGGAGTGGGAGGGAGCACCCGAAGAGAGACATGTCATTCCAGAGGACCGCTGGGTGTGTGGGGCGGCATTGGTGGGACAAAGAGAACTGGTAGAAGAAACAGAGAATGATGAATACGCCCAGAATAAGCTCAGAGGTCTTAGGGATGAGGGAGAGGAATCAAGGGGTTTCGAGGAAAGAAATGGAGCTTTGTATTACAAAGGGGCACTGTATATCCCTGAAGGAGACTTAAGGGGAGGGTACTCAAGCAGTTGCATGACAGCCCCACGGCGGGGCATTTTGGGCAACACAAAACCATGTGGTTGGTCACCAGGGAATTTTGGTGGCCTAAGGTGAGGAGGATGTACGTGAGTATGTAAGAGGGTGCGAGCAGTGCCAGCGAGCCAAAGGGAAAGGCGGGCGCCGGCGGGGCTGTTGGAACCCTTACCAACACCAGAACGACCTTGGGAGGCAGTGTCGATAGATTTTATGACTGATCTGCCGAAGTCCAAAGGGAAAACAGCCATCATGGTGGTGGTAGACCTACTAACAAAGATGTGCCACTTTGTAGCTTGCTCGCATGCAGTCACGGCGGAAGAGACAGCGAAGTTATTTGTAGAACACATTTTTAGGTTGCACGGGGTGCCATTGAGGGTGGTCTCAGACCGAGGAAAACAATTTACTTCCAGGTTCTGGAGGAAGCTCATGAGCTTACTGCAGGTGGAGGTCAACTTTTCGACTGCCCGGCACCCTGAAACCAACGGGCAGGCGGAAAGAGCAAACGGTGTCCTCCAGCAATACCTGAGGTGTTATGTCAATGACAGAGAGAATGACTGGGTAGAAAAGTTGGCGCTGGCGGAATTTGCCTACAACAATGCCGAGAATGTGTCCACAGGGATGAGCCCCTTCTTGGCTAATTATGGGTGTCATCCCAGGGCTTTCCCAGGGGGAGAAGGGGAGAGATGGAGCGTACCGGCAGCCGAGCATTTTGTAGAAGAAATGGAAGCAATCCACCGTCAGCTCCAACTCAACTTAGAAAGGGCGAAGGAAGAATACAAGAGGCAGGCAGACAAGAACCGAAGGGAAGGTGAAACCATAAGGGTTGGAGATAGGGTGTGGCTGTCAACCCGAGGGTTGCCGTTCAAAGGAGGTTGTAAGAAATTACGACCCAGGAGGTTGGGTCCCTTTGAGGTCATTCAACAGGTCAACCCAGTGGCTTTCAGGCTCCGGTTACCCAACCACATGAAACTGCACCCAGTATTTCACAGGTCGTTACTGTCACCGTACGAGGGGACGAGAAGGGATGGCCACTCGGGGACCGGTCATAGAAGAAAGAGAATGCAGCAGTCATGTGGCAGAAATCCTTGATGCCAGGTGGAAGGGGAATCAGGTGGAGTATTTGGTAGCGTGGGAAGGAGAACCGGAGTCAGAAAACACGTGGGTAATGGCCAAAGATATCAATGACGAGGTATTGATAGAAATGTTCCATCAAAGGTTCCCGCGGAAACCTCAGCCTGTGGAGAGGTTCCGGAGGGAATACTTTGGGACCACTGAGGAGGAGGAGGAGTTGGAAGGATTCCCAGAATCGGAAGGGGAAGGGGAGATGGACTCGGAGGAGGAGGAGTGCTTCGAGACCAGGAACCGCAACAGGTGGAGAGAAGTGTTCGAGACATCGGAAGATGAAGGAAGTTCATTCCGGGGTTTTGCCTCCTCACCGCCCGTAGAGGACGGGGCGAGAGGGGGAGACGGGGGCCCTGGAGGGAGGTGGATGTCAGGGAACTGCCATCGGAAGGAAGGGAGGTGAAAGGACTCAGACAGGTTGGAAGAGATTCAGCAGCTGAAGAGGGAACCAGCAAGGGAGAGAAGCTGAACTGAGGGAGGTGAAAGGGCTCAGACAGGTTGGAAGAGACTCAGCAGCGGAAGAGGAAACCAGCAGGGGAGAGAAGCTGAACTGAGGAAAGGGAGCTGGGGGATGGCTCAGAGATACTTCCAGCGAAAACAGTGGTGAGGTTTCCGGACCTCCTGTAGCGACACCCACTCCTCGCCGGAAACTGTCACGCAGAGAGTCCAGAAGACGTGTTTCCGTTAAGGAGCTTTTATGTTGGAAGCGATTACGAAAGCAACCACTGTCGGAATCTTCTAGTGACTAGAGGAGCCATGTCAGAGGGGCTCAGTCACAGACAGAGGTTTGTGGACTTGAACAAACTCTGAGGGAATACGATTTTACGCACAAGCAGCTCATAATCCCATCACA